CGAGACCCGCCTGGGCAACTTGGTGAGACCTCGTCTCTAAATAAATCAAAAAATTAGCCGGGCGTGGTAGCACACTCCTGTTGTTCCAACTACTTGGAAGACTGAGGCAGAAGGATTGCCTGAGCCTAGCAGGTCGAGGCTACCGTGGCTGAGAGTGTGCCACTACATTCCAGCCTGGGCAACAGAGTGAGACTCCAACAAGAAAGAAAGAAAGGAAGGAAGAAAGAAAGGAAGGAAGGAAGGAAGGAAGGAAGGAAGGAAGGAAGGAAGGAAGGAAGGAAGGAAGGAAAGAAGGAAAGAAAGAAAGAAGGAAGGAAAGAAGGAAAGAAAGAAAGAAGGAAAGAAGGAAGAAAAGAAAGAAGGAAAGAAAGAAAGAAAGAAAGAAAAAGAAAGAAAGAAAGAAAGAAAAAGAAAGAAAGAAAGAAAGAAAGAAAGAAAGAAAGAAAGAAAGAAAGAAAGAAAGAAAGTTTATCAGAGGGAAAGGAAAGAAAGGCTGGCCCTAAAGAAGAACCAGCAGCCTGTTCTTTTGGCGTGTCCCTCTTGTCCCTCTTCTACGCCCTAGCTGGGGTCTTGTGGTCACGTAGCACATATAGTCCTGAGGAAGTAGGTGTTGGTCACGTAGCTCCTAGAGGCAGGCTGGTGCTGCTGGTGGTCATGTAACCTTGGGGGAACAGGTGATGGCAGCAAGAATGAGCTGTTGCTTAAGCAAGTGGGGAAGGAGCGGGGAGGGGTGAGTGGGGGTTGTAGCTCCCTTACATTACCCTGACCGCATGTACTCTGGTCTCAAGGAACGATCCCCACTAGGAATGAATACTTGGTGTCAATCTCTGATGACTGTGGTGTGAAACATGCATCCTCTCTGAGGAGTTGAGAGCCAGAAACAAGGTGACACCATCAGTTTCTACCCCACTGTGTACTCTAATAGGAGTAGCCAGCCTGTTATTTCTTTTGCATCTAGCTCATTCCATTTTCCAGCTCATGCTACTTTCTGTCTCCCACACAGGGGACTAAGTCTATGTACACCCTGTTTAAAAACTTGTCATGAGCTGGGGGTGGTGGCTCATGCCTGTAATCCCAGTAGTCTGGGAAGCAGAGATGAGATGACTGCCTGAGCCCATGGGTTTGAGACCAACCTGGGTACCATGGCAAGACCTTATCTCTATAATAAATAAAAAATTAGCTGGGCATGGTGGCTCATGCCTGTAGTTCCAGCTACTTGGAAGGCTGAGGTGGAAGGATCACCTGAACCCAGCAGGTCGAGGCTGCAGTGGCCATGCGCAGCATGCCACTGTACTCTAGCCAGGGTGACAGAGTGAGACTCCAACTCAAAACAAAACAGAAAAAGCCTGTAATGGTCCATTTCTGACAGTACCAAGCCAAAATATATGACCCTTCGTTATCTGACATCAGTCTACTCTTCATGGCCCCTCTGATAGTTTCCTTAGCTATACCTCAAAGGGGTAACCAAGACAAGATGAAATGAAAATTAGCACAAAAATTGAGGCTGGACTTGGTGGCTCATACCAGTAATCCCAGTGCTGTGACAGGCCAAGGTGGGAGGATCACTTGAGACCAGGAATTTAATATCAGCCTGGGCAACATAGCAAGATCCCAACTCTAAAAATATATATTATATATATTTAAATTAGCTACATGAGCCTGGTGCAGTGGCTCACACCTGTAATCCTAGCAATTTTGGAGACTCACGCGTGTAATCCCAGCAATTTTTCATCGCTTGATCCCAGAAGTTTGAGACCAGCCTAACCAACATAAGTGCAACCTCATCTCTACAAAAAATACAAAAAAAAAAAAAATTGTCAGTCATGGTGTACACCTATAGTCCCAGCTGCTCGAGAGGCTGAAGTAGCCGGGCTCGGTGGCTCGACCTGTAATCCCGCGCTTTGGGAGGCTGAGGTGAGTGGATTGCCTGAGCCCGTGAATTCGAGACCCGCCTGGGCAACTTGGTGAGACCTCATCTCTACAATAAACCGCCCAAAAATTAAGCCGGGCTCGGTGGCTTAGCCTGTAATTCCGCGCCTTTGGGAGGCTGAGGTGAGTGGATTGCCTGAACCTGCGGGTTCAAGACCCTCCTGGGCAACTTGGCGAGACCTCATCTCTACAATAAATCAAAAAATCAGCCGGGCGTGGTAGCGCATGCCTGTAATTCCGGCTACTCAGAAGGCTGAGCCCAGCAGGTCGAGGCTGCGGTGGCCGGGAGCGGCCACTGCACTCCAGTCTGGGTGACAGAGTGAGACTCCAACTCAAAAAAAAAAAAGAGACTGAAATAGAAGGATCACTTGAGCCCAGGAAGTGAGGCTGTGATGAGCATGATTATGCCATTGTACTCCAGCATGGGCAACAGAGTGAGACACTGTCTCAAAAATAAAATAAGATAAATTAGCCAGGCATAGTGGGATGTGCTTGTAGTCTCAGCTACTCAGGGGGCTGAGGCAGGAGGATTGTTTGAGCCCAGGAATTAGAGGTTACAGTGAGCTAGGATCATGCCACTGCATACCAGCCTGGGAGACAAAGAGTGAGACCCTGTCTCCAAAAAAAAAAAAAAAAAAAAAAACATTTAGACATTGACTTTAAAGACTAGTATGGCACCCCCTCAGCAGCACAATAACAAACTTTTCACCTAAACTGTTAGATAATGCACATTGTTACTTTCCCATCTCTTCTGTTTGCCACATCATGAAATAAAGTTAATTTGAGAAAGAGATTAGTGTGTCTTGCCCTAAGTCTAAAATTCTTAATTGTAACTCGAAATAACCAGTCCATCAGCCACCCTGAAACTCTCCTTGCTCCCCAGGTAAGCCATCCTTTAAAAAATATACCTCTGTGGTGATCCTGCCAGGGGGAATATTTTCTATTTCATTGTCTGCCTCTGAAATCCTTATGTCACTTTATGAAGTAACAACTCAATGTCACTTCCTCTGCAAAGCCTTTCCTAGCCCCACCCTGTGTTCATCAACCTGTTTTTTTGTACTTAGTACACTGTGCAGTGAAGTCTCATCTTCACTGAGGGTAGCATTTTAAATCCAGGGTCCCCGCGGGTTCGAGATCCGCCTGGGCAGCGAGACCTCATCTTTACAATAAATCAAAAAATCAGCCGGGCGTGGTAGCGCATGCCTGTAATTCCAGCTACTTGGAAGGCTGAGGCGGAAGGATTGCCGGAGTCCAGCAGCTCGAGGCTGTGGTGGCCGGGAGCGGCCTCTGCACTCTAGTCTGGGCGACCGAGTGAGACTCCAACTCAAAAAAAAAATAAAAAATAAAAAAATAAAATAAATCCAGAGCCCTAGGCAGAAATGACCAATGGTCAAAATTGCCGTTGGAAATCTGAAAGCCACTTGTGGGACTCTATATTGTCTCTTGTTGACCAGCATAGACAGTCTTTCTCCAGCATGGCAACAAATCACGGTGTATTTGCTCAACAAATGAAATAATTCATTTAGATGCCAGATAGTTACAAAATGTTTCAAATGACCATGATCACATGTATTTATTTATTTATTTATTTAATTTGAGTTGGAGTCTCACTCTGTCGCCCAGACTGGAGTGCTGTGGCATGCTCATGGCCACCGCAGCCCCGACCTTTTGGGTTCAGGTGATCCTTCTCCTTCAACTTTCCAAGTAGCTGTAACTACAGGTGTGTGCCACCACGCCCAGCTAATTTTTAAATTTATTGTAGAGATGAGGTCTTGCCATGTTGTCCAGGCTAGTCTTGAACCCGTGGGCTCAGGCAGTCCTCTTACCTCTGCCTCACAAAGTGCTGGGATTACAGGCATGAGCCACCACGCCTGGCTGATCACATTTATTATAACAAAAATGCACACACTACAAGGTTTGTGGAACCGGAGACTTGCTGAGAGAGCCATCTGCTGCCATCTCTCCAGTAGGACATCTCTCAGTCTCCCTCTTATCAGGTTACACACTCGTTGAGTGGAATGTCTCCATTTTTCCCTCCCTGCCAAGGAGAATTCACCTCAGTTCAAGATGATATGACATCACTCTATTATTAAAGTTCCTGACCTGAAATTACCCGTTCATCCAGCCAGACTGAGTGCTCCAGAAGCATTCAGGACAGATTTTCATAGATTATCACAATGCTTAACATAGTAGAGTAGGTAGCAGTAAAAGCTGAATAAAATCAAAGTCTCTAGCCAGGCATGGTGGTGCATGCCTGTGGTTCCAGCTACTTGGAAGGCTGAGGCAGAAGGATCGCCCAAGCCCAGCAGGTCGAGGCCGCAGTGGCCGTGAGTGCGCCACTGCACTCCAGCCTGGGTGTCAAGAGTGAGACTCCAACTCAAAAAAATCATCATCATCATCAAAGTCTCCTTTATGTCAGTCTACTTTATGTCCACACTCACCCTTACCCACATTTGAATAATTAATGCAGGAGACCCCTAGGCTGCATATTTACTTTTAGGCCAAGGACAAGCACAGGGGCCAGCCTACCTCTACAGGACAGTTCACATCACCGCCCTCAAATAACACTTTCCTGCTTTTTATTATATCCAGTGCGACCTTTTCAGCCTAGACCTCAAGGCCATATCCTGACTATTTTCCCTTCTTTGCCCACCCCCTCCGATTCCTGTCCAGCTCTCCTTTCCTATTTGGCAGCCTATGGTCCTCAGCCTGCTGAGTGAGCACTACAATCCTAGAGACATTTTTTTTTTTGAGTTGGAGTCTCACTCTGTCGCTCAGACTGGAGTGCAGTGGCCGCTC